GGAGATGAAACATGGACTTTGGAGTCAGAAGGTCCAAGGGAAACCCCGGCTCCCCCTTGACAGCCGTGGGGACCAGGCCTCGGCTTGCCCCCGGGCACCTGACAGCAATGCCGTGGGTCCAAGCGTGCTTAAGTGGGCTGCTCGGGGCGCTCACCACAAACGTCCGGCATCCTCTCCTCCAGAGCCAGGGTCCTCACTGCTCTTCCAGCCTCGTGGTAGCACAGGACTGTCGTGAGGTCCGAGGGAAGGCTAGTGTGTGGGGGTGCTTGACCGCAAATACGAGGAGGGCCGTCAGTGCATATGAAACGTCATTTCCACCTTCTGCCTTCCCCTGCTAAGGAGAGCTGCTCACATTGGAGATTGCTGGGGCATCGGAGGCTTTAGTCTGTGCCCCAGGAACAGAGTTAAGCTAATTGCCCCACCCCAGTGTCACAGCTACATTTTGGGCTCCATCACAGGAACTAACGTGGGGGCATCAGTGGGACCCACAGCACGTCGCCTGGAGCCCTTTCCTCTCCGACCCTCCAGCCCAGCCCGTGTCCACAAGCAGAGACGCAAGTGAGAAGGTGTTATCTGGCCCTAGCTCTGTCACCACTCCATGGGTGACCTCTCCCTCCGAGCTGCCACACCCCAGCTTTAAAAGGATAAAATCAGATGATTTACAAGGACTAATCCAGCTCATATGCTAAACAAGCTCGATCTCTAGATGCAGAGTGAGAACATCACACAAAAACGCCGCAGGGTTTGAGAGCAGACTGACACAGGCAGACTGCTCGGGGTGACAGAGCCTGCCCTCGCCTCCCAGGCCGCGCTCGCTGCTCACTCGCCGCCCAAGGAGCCCAGCCCTGGCCGTCGGTGTGGAGCCCACGGTTGCCTCACCCTGCCCGAGTGGCCTTATGACAAAATCTGGCTGCTCTGAATCTCTGCATTTATTTTACTCATTACTCAGTTGTTTTTCATGAAAAAAAAAAAAAAGCAACCAGGTTGCAGAAATTTTAGTTAAGGAGGAGAATTCTCGCTTGTGCCCATATCCCACCACTTGACGCAGCCAGTGTGCCTCTTCCTAGACCGCCAGTGTGTTCGCTCCGTCACTGCTCGATGTGGCAAGAGCCCTGTGAATGCCCAAGAGCATCTTGTTCCTGGACCATTTTTCTGGCCCCACTGACCAAAAAACAAACGTGCTTGTGCCGTGTCTGTTTCAGGGAGCTCTGGTCTGGCAATGTTTTCTGGAATATTACCCTGAAACGGAACAGAAGTGAACCCACATCCTTTCCACAGCATGTGCTAAACACCTAGGCATCCTTCTCGTTCTCACCACCTGCGTGCTCCTGTGAGGGGCAGGGACGGCCGGTCACACACCCTGTCCCCCAGCCCCTGGGCCACCTCAGTGAGCTGTGAACCTAGGCCCATCCCCTCTCCTTTCTGGGCCTGCCTCATCTGGAAAGTGAGAATGAAAATGTAATACAAACTCCCTAAGATGCAGGAGGGTCAAATAAGATTATGTACAGATAAGCTGAAAAAAGTGTTGGCTAGTGGATGTGCATCCGGAGAGAGAGCGGCCTGCTCCCATGCTGTCCTGTCCATGCATCACAGGTGGGGCCGGGCCGGCGCCGCCAGGATCCCTCCAGAGAACATCTTAGGGCCCAGGGCTGCCACTCTCCCGCTGGTCTGTGTCCTGTCAGCAAACTTCCTGCCCCAGGCCCCGTGCTGGGCCCAGTGACACAAACGACTCAGACTCACCCCTGTCGCCCAGGGGCTCACATCTGCAGACTCAAGCCAAGGTGTCTTCCAGGACAGGAAGACAACCAAGGGGCGACAGGGGCCCAAACTCGGGTTTCTCCCTCTCGGGTCTCAGGCTCATCAGGCCTGAGGGTGGGCCGGGCAGGCAGAGGAGCCCCGGCGAGGAGCTGGGTCACCTTCGGTGAGGCCCGGGCCATGGGGGCAGGGAGCCTCACAGATGGGGAAACCCCCTGCCCGGCAGGACAGGGATTCCTCCAAGGCCTCCCAGGAAGGCAGCTGGGGGCAGCCTAGAACCGAACCTCGGGAAGACCGGGCCCGCCCTTCTGTGCAGAGCCTGAACCCAGTTTCCAGAAGAGAGGGAATCACAGGCCTGGGTTCTTACCCCAGCCCTGCGGGGTGACCCTGCGCAAGGCCCTGCCCCCCTCCTTGGGAAGCAGCCTGAGCGACTGAGCACTAAGAACCTAGAGAGTACTCAGTGCTGAAAACCTGCGTGCCAACTGCTGAGGGCCTGGGTCCATGTTCAGCAACAGGGCTCTCTCCCTCACCACCGCCCACAGGGCTGCAGAGGTGAGGTACAGCCCCCACCAGCAGCAACTGTGCTCAGCTCTGCCAGCCCGTCTCTCCAGGCCCGCCTCAGGTCCCTGAATGCCTGGCTGTTCTCTGGCTCCTCCGGGAAGCCCTCCTCCCCAGTGAGTTATGGTGCGTGTGTGCTCCCCCAGATGAGGCACCTGCACCCCAGTGTGCTATCAGATCTGGCCTTAAGGGGAGTGGAGGGGGCCGCTGGCCCAGGAGTCAAATAAACCATTTCCCGAGCCCCTTTTTTGGGTTGTCTGGGCAGCCTGCGCTGCAGTCCTGAGGCGCTTGCCCCAAATGGGGTGGCTGGTGACAGCCTCCTGTTCACCTTCCTCTTGTGGCCCTGCATGTCCCTCACTTCAAAAGACACCAACCCTCCAAACTCAGGCCCCGGCCCGGGCTGGAAGGGAAGGTGCAGGAAGGGGGTTAGGGTGGGCGAAAAGCTCTCTCACCCCTGCAGGGGCACACCACAGGGGTAAGGGGTGCCACGCAGGTCTGCCTAGAGCCCAGATTGTCTGACATGTTTTCTTTTAAATTATAACAGTCGCCCAGCAGCTGTGCCAGCTCTGCAATCTCACACCACTTAACCACTCGGAGCCTCGATTTCCTCGGCTGTGAAGGGAACACCTGCATCTCAAGGGGCTTGGGAGGCACGAGGGAGACACCGCAGGGAAAGCGCGGACCACAGGGCCTGACGACGACGCAGAAGCGGGCCCTGGGTAAGGCGGTGGCTCCCGGTCATGCTGGTCTTTCCAGCTGCGACTCCCAGGACACAGTGGCCTTGGCAGATACTAGGCAGCTGGTGCCTCCTGGTGGCCAGCAGAAGCCAGGGCATGAGGGCTGGGACTTCATGAATTTTGGATGAAGAACGTTGGACTCCTGGTGTCTTCAGCTGGTAGACTGACCGAGTCCTTGAACGGGGGTATTGGGGCACTTAAACACTCCCCAAGGCCTTCTCTGTGCCAGGCCTGACCCCGGGAATACTTGCTTCCCTCCCTGGTCTCCTCCCTGAGTTCCCTGCTGAAATGGAGGCAGGCAGACACAAACAGGGGTCCAGGCGGGAGGAGGCCCCCCCGCCAGCCTGGCAAGCGAGGGGGGCTCCCAGTGAGGGGATCCTGAAGGGCAGATTTGACTCGGGGGCTGGGTAGCAAGAGCGTCCTGAGTAGAGAGAAAATCACACGCCAGACACATTCCGAGTAGCCAGGAAATGGAGATACAGCCAAGCCCAGCAGGGTGGCTCCGAGGACTTTGAAGTTCATGCCTAGAGTTTCTCTGCTGGCATCATCGAACTCCAGATGGTTAAACATGTGACCATAACGCTTGAGAAACTTACGGTGGCAAGGAGGGGCTGAGGTGGGGCAACAACAGGTCTAGAAGGTGGCCTGCAGTGGCAGCAGGGCTGGAGAGGAAAGGGACACAGTGGGCCCAGGCCTTGGCACCGAGGGGATGTGCAGTGTGAGGGGAAGGGGAGCTCACGTGAGTTGGGGGAGATGGAGCCGGGGAGGCAGCTGCGGTCACCTAGAGCTCAGGGCTACGGCCGAGAGCAATGGGTGGTCAGTGAGTCAGCAGATTTGGGTGTTTGAGCCCAGCATTCACACAGCCTTTGACACGTGCCAGGAGCTTCACAAATACTAGCACATGGAGACCTTACAACAACCCTTGAGGTGTAGACTGACACCCCATTTTACAGAGAAGGAAACTAAGGCACAAAGACCTTAAGTAACTTGCTCAAAATCCTTCAGCTACTAAACAGTGGAGCTGAGATTCACACCTAGATGGTCTGGCTGCAGAGTCCAGGCTCTTAGCTCTCTGCTGCCCAGTCTGGAGATGGGTCCAACACCCTGGGACTGGCGGGGACCCCCTGGGAGACGGTAAGGGGACAAAGAAGGAGGCTGAGAGTACGAGAGTGAAGCCTTTGATGCACAGCTGAGCAGGTCCCCAGAGGTCGGCGCCCACCACTCAGGACAACGACCACGCTGCTGAGTCCTCCACCATGCCCCAGGTTGATGAAGGAAGCGCGTGTCCAGGCTCCACCCTGTTGGGCCTGCCTTACCCCGCAGCGCCTTGCTGTGCAGATGAAATTTGATGCCGATGCAAGTGGAGGCCCAGGCCCAGGCCCAGGCCCGGTCTCCTGAGGCCCTCGCAGGCTCACGGACACGCGGGGGCCACTCCCCACCCACTCCGGCTCTGCCTCTGGACTAGCGCCCGGCTGGCCTGAAGGCAGGCCTGGTGCAGCAACCACTGGACATCGCTCTCCGATTTGTTCGAACCCTTTCCACCAGTGCCCTTCTGGGCTGCCTCCCCACTCCCTCCTCAAACTCTCACGGCCCCACCTCGGCCTCAGTCCACCCTGGGTGACTGAGGAGGGCGAGAGGTGTCGGCCTAACTTCAGGACCAGCCTGGCCCAAGGGTGAAATTCCCACGGCTCCAACAGCCATGCCCTCTGCTGCCTCTGGTTCCTCACACTGTCTACTCTCAGACCCAGACAGCACGGAGGCCAGGCCAGCTCTGCCCAGCTCCGTGCAGGAGGAGGAAAGGGGGCCAAGCCCGGGTTTCCTCGAGCCATCAGCCCGAAGACCGCTCTCTTCCCTAAATGCTACAAAGAGGCAAGCAGACACCCGTTTAGATGCACCCTCCCCCCCCCCACTTTTGGCACAGGAAGTGAGGAGACGGAGATAAACAAAAAGTACTGTCATCTGTCCCCCCGCACCAACCCACACTTTATTTTTAAACAAAGGCCCCGCCGGCCTTCTTCCCCACCAGAGGCCCCGAGCCACCCGTACCCTGCCCACACCTCCCTGGGGCCCAGGGGAAGCTGTTCTCCGGCTTCAGGCTTCGGACTCGAGCTCCAGCCCAGGCAGGGGAGGTCACGGCACTAGTGCCAGAGCACGACCTTCCTGGACTGGTCCACGCTCACCACGTGGCTCCCGGAGTTGCACCAGGCCACGGCGTTGACGGCGGTGCTGCAGAGAGGCAGGGCCAGGCTTCAGGCGGGCATCGGCAGCTGGGCCCGCAGCCTGGCGCTGCCCCTCATTCCTGGACCTGGGCACTTGAGGCCTCTCTGAGCCCATTTCCTCTCCGGTGAAGTGGGCTCACAGGGCACAATGAGGATGGACCCAAGGGCGTGTGGAAAGGCACCCTGTGGACAGGGAAGGGCTCTGGGGGGTGGGAGATACGGAAACAGGGGCGGAGGACTCCAGGCCCAAGCACGTCGGAGCCTGGAACTGGCTGACAGGACTGGGCGGGCACAGCCGTGGCCCCGAGGCTAGGGCGGGCGGGGGGCGGTGGCATGCTCACCAGTGGGGTCCCCGTAGGCTACTCTCCAGTTTCCCAGTGTCCACATCCCAGATGTAAAGGGCTCCGTCCCAGGAACCTGCCAATGCGTAGCTTCTGTCCGGGCTGCAGTGGCCACGGCGGAGCAAGAGAGAGGGGTCGAGATGAGACACACCCTGACACACAGACACGGTCGGACGGGGCACACTGGGGCACAGACGCGCACTCTCACGGACACACCTGAACACGGCTTTGGTCCAGTCAGAACCGCACTTGAAGCCGTCAGCGCTGAGGACAGACGGAGTCGGGTCAGAACGGAGACGGCCGCCAGCCCCTGCCCTCCCCCAGGAACCTCGAAAGGTTCCTCTCCCCGCCCAGGGGTCCGGCACCTCCGCAGGCCCTGGCTCAGACGGGCCTCCAGGGGGGGCTCTGCACTGACAGCTCTAAGGAGCTTTGTACAGGGGACAAGAGGCCCTGCTGTCCCAGCCAAAGCTGGCGTCAGCGGCCGGGAGAAGGTACCTGAACACCTGGCGGATGTTGCTCACACGCAGGTCGATGACCTTGAGCGTGTTGTCCCGGGAGCAGCTGAGCAGATGCAGATGATCGAGGCTGAGGCTCAGGGAGGTGACCCGGCCCTGCACGGGGATGACCTGTGTGCAGCGGGGGGCCCTGAGCAGCGAGGACAGAGACGGACATGAGGAGCAGCTCCCCCTGCCGGGGCCACCCCGACCGGCTAACAGGGCCCAGAGGCAGCGGTCCCAAGCCCCGGGCCTGGCTGACAGTGACCCACACCCCCTGCCCCCCTCCCCACCCCCGCAGCAGCCCCGCCAACAGGAATGCAGGCAGACCTCGACTCAAAGCCAAAGCCGGAGCCTCTGCAACCTCTGGGTCACAGAACGCGTGCCGGGGGAAAGCCGTGGAAGTCTGTCCTTACACGCGTGAGAGACCCAGGGCATCCGCCTGGCGGCAGTGTGGCGGCCAGGGAGGAGGAGCCTGAGGGGGGCTGGGCACTGCTCCAACTCTGGCTTTTATTTACCGTTCAAGCCAAATGTTGTGCTCTTAGGTTTAAAACACAACTAAAGCTTTTTCCCTTTTGATTAAAAACTGAGAACTAAATGGGAAAGGGGGCTTCTAGGTCTCGGCTGTCGAGGCCCAGGCAGAGTCGGGTGGCTGGAGGGAGAACCACGGAGGCGGCACAGGCCACCCGCTCAGCCTCACTTCCCTGTGCGCCCTCTGTGGACGGCTCCAGGGCCCGAGAGAGGAAAGAGAACCCGGGAGCCCTGTCCCTACACCTGTCACCTGCTGTCCCAGAACCGGATCTTCTGGTCATTGTGGCCACTGATGATGACATGGTCCCCGCACACCACGTCGTTACAGTAGGAGAGGACATCGATGGTCCTGGAGCCTGCGGAACAGGGGCCAGGGCCCAGGCCTCAGGGATGGGTCATCAGGAGCCGGCCCACTAGACAGAGGAGCAGCTGAGGCCCAGAAGCCCCAGAGGGCAGTGTCCTCCCAAAACCAGCACCCAGGTCCCCTGCTTCCCAGCCCAAAGCCTGAGATCACCAAGAAATGACAGAAAGCACCACAGGGGACAGAGAAGGTGGGGCCTTGGGAGGTTTCACCCCAAATGCCTGTGAATCTTGGAATCACTCCCAGAGAGCAAGCAGGTCAAGGTCCCTCATGGCCCAGCATGGGGGGTGGGGAGGGGATGCGTGGTGCAGGGGATGGAGGGCGAGGGGTGGGGGGGCCGAGGTGCAGGGCTGGCCTCACAGTAGGCACGGTCGAGGTCCCACTCCTTCACTGTCCGGTCTCGACTCCCAGTCACTGCCTGGTGCCTCGTTAGCTTGAATTTGGCGGCTGTCACCTTGTCTGTGTGTCCAGACAGTGTCTCCTGCTCCCATCACAAATATGGATTCAAGGGTGTGGTCAGGAATCCATAATACCGTACTCCCGTCTAGGCCCAAGACCTGACCCCGGACCCCCAAACTGCCTCCCAGTCAGACCTCACCTTGGACACCGCCTGTCCCACCTTCCAGAGCTGAGCGGCCTGATTGTAAGTAGCTGCCAATACCTGGGAGCCCTGGAGAGATGGGAGTAGGAGAGGTCCCGGACCTGGACTTGACCAGAGGTAATATCCCTCAGGCCCCAGGCCTGGGGCAGGGCTGCCCGGGAGCTGCCCAAAGCTGGGTCCCCCAGGCAAACGGAGGTGCCTCTGGGCCCAGGGAGGAGCAGCTGTGTAGGAGCCTGAGGGCCCAGCCACACGTCTCCTCGAGCCCCAGAGCCTCCACCCGCCTGGGGTGGGGACCGGGGAGGAAAACACCCCGTGCCACTGGGGCAAAGTCTCCTCACCGAGGGGTCAAAGTCCACACTGGTGACGCTTCCGCCAGCTCCTTCGAGGGTCTGGTTGGCCTCCAGGCGACCTGGCGGGGTGGGGACCAGGGGAAGGGATGGGTACAGTGAGGTCACTGACCTCATGAAAATGAGGAGCTGGGACTGGAAATGGGAAAATCAGTTTTCCCCAATTTAAAGGACAGAATCACTGGGCCCTAGGGGATAGCTGGTCATTTCATAGGGCTAAAGATGGCCGGAGAAAAGGGACTGCCCCTAGGTCCCACACAAGCCAGTGCCAGGCCAGCTAGAGATTCGCCCCCTGGAGGAAGCCTCCAGGAGCCGGCTCTGCCTTCCCGACACACCCCCTCCACAGAGCCCAGGCAGCTAGCTGATGTGGGTCTCCCACTGAGTTCTCAGAGTTCAAGTGGTAACAAGTGGCCCAGGGAACCCCTGCCTCTCCTAACGGGGGCCATCTGAGTGCAGCCATCCTCATCCTGCAGGTGTGGGCCCCAGGAGCTCAAAGGCTCTCCAATTTTCTTCAAAGAAGTGAGCCCAAAACTCTTGCCAAGGGATCCTCTGGCCACTGCCCTCAGGAATGTTCTAGGTGAGGGAGCATAAAGAGGTCCAAGACCTTTGCCCACCGAGAGACAAGCCGAGGGTAGGGTCTGGGAAGAAACACTGGGTCGGCCTACGGGGGAGGGGCCCTCACCTCCCACGACATTCCAGAGGTGGATGAGGCGGTCAGTCCCCGCAGTGGCCAGCAGGCTGCTATTGGGACCAAAACAAACTGCATTGACCTCAGAAAGGTGGGCTTCCTGTGGGGGAAAGGGGAGGTTGGTGCCCCTGATCTGTGTCATGGAGGCCCCTGTGCACACTGACAGGCTCTCTCTCGCGTGCACCCGAGCACACAGCAGTGTCCCATCACCTCTGCCTAGACCCCTGCAGCAGCCACGATACCCCATCCTCCCCTGCCTGGTTACCCTGGGCTCCCAGCCTCCTGCCTCTCCCTCTCCAGTCCACGTCCCCACTATAAGAAGCTGAGGGGTTCCCACCACAAGCTGTGGCAGGAAAACTCCTCCTCCTGCCGAGGAGCCCCACCCGGCTTCCCTGGCCTCCTCAGCCCGCTCCTGGGGCCCGCACTCCGCACACCAGCACCCCCTGCAAGGAGCCCAGGTCCTCCTCACCAGCACATCCTGAGCCCGGGTGGGAAGTCGGGCAGCCACACACACAGGGATGCTCTGGTATCGCTGCTCAGGGACTCCCCCAATGGAGTGTCCTCTCCTCTTCTTAAAACTGGGGGGCAGGGGGAGTCAGGAGGGCATTCAGCAAGGCCTTCTGCTGTGAGAGCCTCACATTCCCCCGAGGCAGCAACAACAGGAAGCGGACACAGAAGGCAACAGAACATGGCCAGAACGCGCAGGAAGGCCAGTCCCCAGCCCGGCCTCTGACCCCTGGGGTCAGTGTGGAGGTGGGAAGAGCACAGAAAAGACACAGAGGCAGGGCAGAGCCGGTGGATGCGGAGAAACCTTGGGGCTGAGGCTTCAGCCCTGGCCTTGCCACTGCTTGGCTCTGTGGTCCTGCACGAGTCCCTGACATTTTTTTTTTAATCCTCAACCAAGGATATATTTATTGATTTTAGAGACAGAGAAAGAGAAACATCGATTGGTTGCCTTCTATACCCGCCCCAACTAGGGATCGAACCCACAACACAGGTGTGTGCCCTGACCTGTCCCGCAACACTTCGGTGTATGGGACAATGATCCAACCAACTGAACTGCCTAGCTGGGGCCAGCCCCTGACATTTCTGAACCTGAACTTCCCAACTGAGTGGCAGTCCCTGCCCAGCCTCAGGCTGGAGCTCCTGGTCCCCTGTGAGAAAACTAGGTGAGGACAGAGCCTGGAGGACAGCTGAGCAGGGGCTGAAAGTGAGGCCATGCACCTCCGGGTCTCAGCAGAGACTCACACGGACTGCTGGACAACACACAGATGGACAGACGGAGGTGCACACACAGGCCGAGCCTGGGCTCTAGAAGCTGCAGACAGGGCTCCGGGGTGCCCTGGCCCTTCCCACACACACTTACTCCAGAAGCCCCTTCACCACATCCACACAGTGAGACAGGGTCAGGGAGGTGGCAGAGGCAGACCTGGGGCAGAATTGAGAGAGAGACGTGCTAAGGGACCAGCAGTGCATGTGCAGACAGCAGTCGCCAACCCTGCTCTGCCAGAGACCCTGGGGCTCACAGCGTCTGGAGTCCTGGAGGAGAACTTGGCTCCTCCAAGACCAGGAGACTGGCATGCCCCAGGGCGGTCCCATGAAGATGGAGGCAGAGAGGCAGCTGGCAAGGAAGTCTCCCAGAGTTTTCACCACGATGGTAAGAACTACCTCATCACCCCATTTCCCCCCATAATCAAAGTCCCTGGGAGGGTGAACTGGGGCCTATGGAGGGGTGGTGGTGAAGGTGCCCCAGGCTGGGACAGCATAAGGCTGGGGGCAGGGGATGGCAGAACCTAGACATACTGAGACCTCAAAAATGCCCAAGGATGTGTCCTGGGATGAACTGGCCCACCGGGGCTGCCAAGAGCTTCGGGGCCCAGCAGCGCATGCCCTCCCCCAGGTTCCTTCACTGCCCTGAGGCCTGGACACCAGTGACTGCAGGGAAGAGCTGGAGGAGAGCCTGGGGAATGGGGGCAGGGAAGGGCAGCGCCAGTGCCAGGCAAATCCAGACAGATGGGCAGACTGAGGGGAGGGCACAAGGACCAAAGCCCTAGTCAGGTCCTCCAGTGTGAACTCACATCCACACACACTCAGATGTTCATATACAGTCAAGTATGCTCGCCCAGGCTTGCACACTCATGTGCTCTCACACCCCTGGGTATGCAAACACATGCCTACAACAGCTGAGCCCTGGGCCTTGCCCACAGGTTCCCTCCTAGTGACACCCTTTCACCAGCCAGGCACCCCACCCCCAGAGACATGATTTTGGGAATGAAAGAAAGGGGTGAGGACGGGGGGAAGGGTCCCCGAGGCGGCTTGGGAGGTCAGACCTGTCTAAGGAGGCCTGAGCTATACGTCTCTCCAAGGCCCCTCCCAACGCAAGAGCCTGCTCAAGGTCCTACTGGAAGACTCTGAGATGGGGCCCAGTTCAGGGCTCTAGGACAGTCCTCACCTAAAAGGCCTCTTCCACTTCTCACCAGCCTCACTCGCTAGAAATTCCGGCTCAGCAGGCAGTGTCAGAGTCACCTCGGCCTTCTCCTTGATCCCGACACCTAGGGTGTCTGGGCTCCTGGAAGAGGGAACGGAGCTCAGGACTGACAAGGGACCCCAGGCCCCATATGGTGAAGATGTGCAGACCCTGCATGATGCCCCCGTACTGGCTCCTATGACCACACATGTCTGCACGTGTCCTGTGAGCTCGGTCTTCACACCCCCTCCCTACTGTGATTGTGCCCACGTGTGGTCAGGTGGCCGAAGGCAGGTGTGTGGTAAGGTAGAATTGGAGGAAGTGGCCCAAGAACAGGGCACTCCAGAGCACATGGGGCAGAGCCAGCATCAGAGGTTCCGGGCGCCTCGCCACTCACTCGCTGATGCTCACTGTCCGCTTGGCAGCCTTCCTTAGCTCCTGGGACACCCGTGCCTGCTTGGCCCTGTGGGAGAGGGAGGGGAATATCTTGGGATCCAGGCACAGGACGCTGCCACCTTCCTGTGAGGGCAAGGGTGGGTCACCCCTCCTGAGGAAGGTGCAAGGAGTTCCCGCCTAGAGGAAGGGATGGGACTCTCTCCTTCTGGGGCCGAACTGCTCACCTCCCTGAGGGGTGAGACTCGGCGCTCTCACCTCTCGCGGCGCTCAAGGCGCAGGTTGCGTTCCGCAGCAGCGCGAGCCTTGCGCTGCACCAGCCGCTCGAGCAGGTCGCGCGCCTCCTCTTCCAGCTTGCGCAGGGCCGCTTCCTGGAGTCCCAGGTGCGCGCGCAGCGCCTCGTAGGCCAGCCGCAGTGCCGCGTTCCGGGCCTGCTGCGCTTCCACCTGCCGGGTCTGCTGCGCCCGTGCCTCCTTCAGCTGCGCCACCCTTGCCTCCAGAGCCGCCAGCCTGGAACGGGGCAAGCCAACATCACCGCCTAGTGGGAACGGGTCTCAGAGCTGGGACAGACTTGCCATGGCTACGCGCCACCCAAGTGGCTAAAGCAAGTCTCCTACCTAGCCTTCCCCCTCAGAGTCCTGTGGTTCAGGTCTGGGGAATGAGGGGAGAGCTGTCGGGCCCTGCTAGAGGCACCAGGATCATCCCATCCACCCTCCCCTGCAGAGATGGCTCCGAGGCTTTTAGAGGTGGGTGCAGTCCCTGTGGCGCCCGCCCACACCTTACCTGCTGTGACGCTCCTCCAGTTCAGATTCTAGGGCGGCCAGGGCTGCGCTCTTTTCCACCACCTGGTAGGCCATCTGGGGGGTGGTTAAGGGACAGACAGGTGGGCCTCTGTGTAGAGCTTCAGCCAGAGTCTGCTACTCCACCCACCTGCCGCTTTAGTGAAAAGCAAGCTGAGGCGCAGGGAGACTTGAGTGTCTGGCATGGATGCACTGTTGTTTGATGGTACAATTAAAAGGCCTTAGGCTCTGGAGTCTAACACTTGGGTGTCAAGCCTGTGACCCCGGGGTAGTCATTTAACCTCTCTGAACCTGTGTTCCTTTACCATAAAATGAGAATAATATTACTTACCTAATAGGGTAACACGGAATTATTATAATATTAATAGTTGTTCAGCCAGGGCACATGCCAGGGTTGCAGGCCACGGCCCCCCGCAACTGCACATTCATGTTTCTCTCTCTCTCTCTCTCCTTCCCTTCCCTCTCTAAAAAATAAATAAATAAATCTTTTAAAAAATAGTTGTTCAAATAATGGCAAATTTATAACTTTTTAAAAAAGATTTTATTTATTTACTTTTTAGAGAGAGGGGCAGGGAGGGAAAAGTGAGAGAAAGAAACAGCAATGTGTGGTTGCTTCTCACGTGCCCCCAACTGGGGACCTGGCCCACAACCCAGGCACATGCCCTGACTGGGAATTGAACCAGTGATCTTGTTGGTTCACAGGCCAGCGCTCAATCCACTGAGCCACACCAGCCAGAGCTTAATTTTTTAATGTAGCACTTATGTGTTTCATTTCTTGTTCTAAGCATTCTACACAAACTAACTCTTAATCCTCATAACATCACCGTGAGGTAGGTGCTGCCACTCTTTCCATTTTACAGAGAAGGACACCAACACAGAGAGGTTAAGTATCTTGCCCAAAGTCACACAGCTAAGTGACAGAGCCAATATTGGAACCCAGACCACCTAACTTTATGTTCCAAGTAAAGAGCTGGTCTAGAGGAGGGGTTTGAGGGATGTGGATTCTGTTCCCCACCCCTCCAACACCTGGCTGATGCAAGCATAGATCCTGGAGAGGAAGAGGAGCCCTGAGCAGAGGCACACAGGCCAAGAACGGAAATGGACTTCAAGAGCACAGGGCCCAGACTGAATACTGTGGCTGAGGGTGATCTCAGCCATAGCCCAGCCTCACTGAACAGTCCTTCAACCAAGAGCCAAGAGAGCTGGGGAAGCCACAGAGATAGACTTCAACTCCCACCTTGGGAGCTGAGCAATCAGTGGGAGAGTCAGATGCCGGGCAAAGTAGTTCCCACCTGTGTGGCAGAAGGAGCATGAGGAAGTAACCAAGGCTGGGGGCTCTAAGCTGTTCCCGCGCTATCCCCTATCCCCCACATAGGCCTGGTGATGGCTGGACTGAGGAGCGAGGTAAGTGCCGGCCACCCGCACTGACGTCACTCCCCGCACTGACGTCACTCCCCGTGTGAGCCCGCCTAGGGAGCAGCCCTGCACACACAAGGCGGCGAGGCCTACTCACGGCGTGCCCGGTTTATACCACCTTTCATTCCTTTCACAACCAAGCAACCTGCCCACCACTTCTGCTTCCTCACTTGTCATTCACTTCATTACTTTCATGGATGTTTGGTAGTACTTTTTTTTATGTGATACTTTTCAGAATTCAAATAATAAGAGATAGAAAACAGATGAGTGGTTATCAGGAGTTGGGAACAACTGGGGGAGAGGGGTAAGCTGTGACTAAAATTGGGAGGCAAGAGAGGGATCTCTGGTGATGAAATAGTGCCGTATGGTAAAGTTCACACAAATATGACATGTGACAAAAACACAAAGGACTGCGTACAGCCCACACCAATGGCAACTCTCTGGTTGCGTGTGGTGCTATAGTCACATCAGATGTAACCATTGGGGGAAACCTGGTGAAGGGTGCACAGGACTTCTCTCTGCTATCTTTGCAGCTTCCTGTGAATCTATGCTTATTTCAAAATAAAAAGCTAAAACAGAAAAAAAAAGGAAAAAAGCTAAGATAGTAACAATGATACACGTGTGTTGTGATATGTGAAATAATACTACCAATCAAAGGAAAGCCCCTCCTCATCCCCTGGCACAGCCAATGGGAGCTGACTGCTGTGCCTGAGCCCATGAAGGAGGGGGATGCTGAGGGTGAGGGGTGTGTACCAGTGTCCCACACTACGGGAGCCAGGAGCTCAGAGAGGAGAGTGGCAGGTCACGTATATACCAACCTGACCACGGGGAGAGGTGGTGAAAGAGACTTTTACTTTTTCACCCAATGGACTTCTGTTCTTTTGAAATACTCACAAGCAAGTCTTGTGTAGCACTTGTCTTTTATTCATGGAAGTCATTTTTATTATTAAAATATGTAGCTCTGAGTGCTGTATGAAGAATGGGGGCTGCCAAGGGAGGAGCCATCCAGGGTGGAGGGAGGGTAATCTGGACCAGGCCAGATATGGTACAGGAAACAGAAGTGGATGGATTTGGAGGCAGGGTCTATGACCCGGTGACCAGCTCAGAACAGAGGGCTGGGAAGGGTGAGGGGTGACCCCGGGTTAACAGCCCGGTGACTGACTACCAACGGAGGGGTGTGTGTGATCTACCTCATTCATCACACTCATTCATCAGTTAGTCTCCAAATATTCATGAGCATGGACTGGAGACAGGCCCCAGGGACACAATGGAGGCAAACCAGAAGCATCCCAGGCCTTGGGGCACGCACAGCCTACGAATAGGGCTCAGATATTTGAAAACCACTTCTCCAATGTCAAGTTGTAACCACATCAGGACTCTGAGGAGAGGCTCTCACGGGGTTCACAGCCCCAGTCCCACATGAGGCAGGCAAGTGGCTGGGCGTGCTGTAGCTGGGCATGAGTTCACTGGCCAATCAGTCTCCTCGAGTGGACTCACAGCTCTGTGAGGCCAGGTCTTGTTTATTACTGCACCCGCTGGGCCTTGCATAGAGAAATTATCAATAAATAACTGCTGAAAGAATGGAGAGCACCGAGGATGGATTCACACGGTTTGTTGGAGTTCAAATCCTGCCTCCACCTCTCTAAGCCTCGGTGTCCTCTGCAATCATAAAGTTGCGGAGAATCAGCTAACACTTAGCACAGAGCCTGCAGGGAGTTGCCTCAATGTGATGTTGGCCACATTATTACAGGGGCGATGGGGAGTCCGACTTTAGATGTGAAGTCCAAAACAGCAGCTGAGCAAGACATTCTGGGTTAGAGACGGGTCTGGGAATCAGCAAACAAAGTCTCTGAAGCTGTGGGAGTGAGTGAACCTATCAGAGCTCCAAGGAGAATGCGCATGTAAAGGAGGGGGACAGGGAGTAGGGGAGGAGCCAGACAAGGAAGTTCAGAAGCAGCAGGTACAGAAGTGAGAGGAACACCAGGAGAGTGTGGTGACATAAGCCAAGAGGCCCCATGGGGGTGTGAGGTGGACCCCCTTACCCATTTAGTCTGTAAACGTGCATGGAGCATCAGCTGGAGACAGGCCCTGGGGCTGGCAGGCAAGTGGTGAGCGGAGCAGGAAGGGGGAACAGAGGCGGCCTGGCCCGAGTACCTCACATTCCTCCCTGAGCTCTCACCGCACTTCCTCCAGTTGCTGTTGGAGTCCACCTCACCCTGGGCTGCCAGAGCCAAGCGAGAGGGCACTCTGACCGTCTGGCCTCAAGGCGCTGGACTTGGGGAATGTCCCCCTTTTGCTGGCTCCCTTGGATCACAGCTTCCAGCCCCCGAAGATCCTGACCCCAACCCATTCTCTCTCAGACCCCTGCCCAACCTACCTACCTCACCACAGACCAGCTGGAGCCCCTCCTTCTTCTCTTGCCATTTCACCCTCAGAGTGGCTGGTGACGGGACCTGGTCGGAGTCAGACCCCAACTCCTCATCCCTGCCAACCAATCAAGAGAGTGGTGCTCACTGTCCCTCCATCCCTCCATCCCTCCATCCACCCATCCACCCAGGGGCTGTGCAAGGAAAGCCCAAGACCAGAGCCATGAACGTTCTCCTGAGGACTGTGGGAGCCAGAAAGGCAGCAGAGGAAAGAGCATGTCTCCAGAAACTGAAGTTGTCCATGACTCCTCAGCTCTGGTGTCCTTTCCATGGTCAGGGCCCTCCTCAAGAAGCACCTCCCCACTCTGAGCCCCAAACCATTCCAGATTCTCACCTTCACTCCCCCTTTGGAATAGGCAGCAAGACCCTTTCTGTAGGCACAGGGTAAGGAAGAGAGAGACAGGCAGAGAAGGGGAAAAGATGAGTGTGGGGGTGGGAGGGGAAGGAGATGGGACAAAGGTGGACATGGACTGAGACGGATGGGAGGGAAGGACATGCTAAGCAGCTGGCCTGGGGGAAGGCTGAAGAGCTGGCAACCCCCTCTTCTGGCAGCAGCCAGGGGCTGAGGAGGTGCCAGGGGGAGAGCCCAGCATAGGTAGCTGGGGCTGGGCCTACGCACAGGCAGCCCATGGGGACCATGAACACACACACACTCACCAGGGGCCCTGGTGGGTCGCAGGAGTAACATTGTTTGGCTCTGGGTGCAGTTTCTCTGAGAATGGGGCCAGCAGCTCAGCCTTCTCCAGGAGACGATTATCTAGGGGTGCGAGAGGGTGAGCCTGGGGCAAAAACAGACACCTTCCAACAGACTCCAGGCATGTGGGTGACCTCTCTGGCCGGGAGGACTTTGAGCCCAGGGGTGCAGCGTGGGAGAGCTGCTGGCACACTGAGCTCTACCCCTTGTGTACGGGGTTTTGTGCAGCTCTACCAGCACCTTCAGCCTTGGCACAGCCTCCTCACAGCTCTAGCCCTCAGGTCCTCCCAGGAGAAGACCTGCTCTCCTAGGGCAAAAAAGGACCACCACCATCAGGAAAGAAGATGGCTGGGCATTGCCCCACCAAGGTTCCTGAGAAAGGAAGGGGCCAGGGACTGATCGCCCTGCCGCAGGACAGGGCCTGGCCTCAGAGAGTGACGACACAGAGCTCCACCGGCCCACAGCCTTACTTCCCCTAACTTTTTGAACTAAAAAACAATCATGACTTCTCCAGGTAGGGGGAAGGTTCCTCTCCCCTCCTCACCCCGATCCCAGCCAAAAGAGAAAGCCCTTGCACGATTATCCAGGGACCCCCTCAAGTTGGCCAGTTTCTGCAACAGACCTGAAATTCACACCTTCCACCCCCTCCACACCCACCACTGTCACTTCCTCTTTTTTTTACCAATTCCAGGGCAGGGTGCGGGGTGTAAGTCCAGGCCTAGCTCCTCAGCAACTTCCCTCAACCAGTGCCCTGGCTGTCACCTCCACCCAGGTGGGAGCCTAGTTCTCACACAAAACCCCAGTCCCTGGGGCACTGCACTGTACCCCCCACCCCCCTGCCCGCCCGCGCCACGCCAGCAAGTCTAAAGATGCCGTTTTGCCCAGGTCATGGGTGAGAAATCTGAGGCTTAGGAATATAACCTGCCTTAAGTGTATCTGATTTCAGCCCTCCAGAGTCTCCCCAGTCTCAAGCATTTGCTGGGGAGAGGGGGTGTCTGTGGGGGACAGCTGGTTAAGCTTCAGCCAACATTAGGCCCAGTGATGGAGCTGCAGAGACCGTGGTTAGACTTTCAGTCGCAAGCATAACGATCTCAGGTGACCAGAGGCCCTATACACAAATGCACACCTGTTTATCGCTCTTGACCTACACACCCCCTGCTGACCAGCTAGCTCCCTAGAAACAGCGCTGTAAAAGTCTGACTTCCAGGGCTCGGCCAGCTCCCTCCCACAGCCTGCGGCTCCCTGTTTCTCCCATAGGCCAGGGCAGGCTGGGCGCAGAGGCACTCCAAAATCCTAAGCCAGGATCACCTATCAGGAAACTCTGCGCCTCTTCCTTAGAGACTGTTTCACTCCGTCCTTTGATTGGCCAAAAATAATTGCTCTTGATAGTCCCGCATTCTGTCACTGGGCTATGGGTACCAATCGGACTGACCTGGATCTATCTTGGGAACCGCCCAGCAGGGGGAAGCACAAGGGTGCCTACAAAACCAACGCTGTGCGGGTGCCTAGGAAGTACAGCTCGAGAGAGGCAGAGCCGGGCCCTGAGGAGCAACAGCGGGAGCATCAGAAGAAGCTCCAACCAGGAAGGGGCTCTAGGCAAAGCCTGGCCTGCAAGAGGCAGGAATGTGGCTAGTCGGAGATGCGGCGTAACACATGCGGGTCTACAGGCCCAAGGCTTCGGAGGGAAGAAGGCACTGGTGCACTTGCGTCACAGTCGGAGAAACCACACACACTGTCCCGGAGCCCCGTCCCCTCCACGGCCATCTTCTGAGCCCCCCGGGAAGCACTCACAGGCCTGCACCAGCTCCAGGAAGAGTGCCTTTTGCGTGCGGTCCCGCTGCCGCAGCTGCCGCACGATATGGCGTTTCCAGCAGGCAGCGGGGGATCCGGAGCTGCAAGGCCCCGCCATAGCAGTGCGCTCCCGCCTGCCCCACGCACACCCGGGGCCTAAAAAGGCGCTAGTGGGCTGGGGCGGGACCTCCAGGGGACTCCGTGATGTCATGGGCCGGCCTCAACGGGAAATCCCCGGATTGTACCAAGAGCATACTTGGTGGGGAGAACGAAATGCAACCGTTAGTGGGAGCGCACCGCCTACACCACGGGGACCCTCAAAAAATTCTCACCCAAGTTGGAGCTCCTATTGCTGGCTTGGGCAATAAGCAGAACTCGAGATCGGAGCCTCCCGGACGGCTTCCCCCGTGCCTGTTGGTGCGCTCCGCAGGCGGGGCCACCAGGGCCAGTGCTGCTGGTCCCTACCGCCCCGGCTGAACTCACCGCCCCAGACGTTGGTCCACGCCCCTCTGGGCCGGGCTGTGCTGTAAGGTCAGACCCGGAGGCCTCCTCACACCAGGCCCCCGCCCTCGCCCTCGAGGCACTCAAGATCGTGAAGGGAGGCCAGACTGACCCGACGCACCTTAAAGGACAGCGAGATAAGAAAGCTCAGAGGAGGAGGGGAGGAAGAGGCCCTGCTTTCCTTAGATGATGGCATTTGAGTTGGGTTGTGAGGGATGGATGAAATAGGAGTTGGCCAGAAGGAAAGAGAAGAGGATTCCAAGCAGTGGGAAGAACAAAGTTCGATGACATAAAAAACGGATTCGCTCCCGGAAGGACAGGCGGCAGAACTGCTCCTGTGGGGAGTGAGGTTTAGGGGTCCAATTTGTCGCAGAAAATTTAGGTCCCTGAGAGTTAAAGAGTGCAGCTGACTTCATCCAGCAAGCCCCTGGCCCAGAGGGTGGTTGGCGGAGCTGGTTAGCAGCCCATATTTTGATTCAGGGCTAACGAAAGGTTCGCCTTATTTGGTTGGCCGCTGGAGAAGCAGCAGCATCTCTTCCAGGTACACTTGTCAGTAAATCATGGGTTGCGGGGAGCTGTAGTGAAATTACCTCTAGCAAGACCCGGGTCCAGAGCTTTGCAGACACAAACTAGTGCGAAGAATAAGAGGAGGAATTCACTGGGCCCGGCCTCAACCCCTGGTACACTGTGTACGGCCCCAGCAGGCCCTGCTCCCGGTGAGTGAATGCAGACCTGTCCCCAGGAAATGAGAGAAACTGGGCAATGTTGGGGAGCCAGACAGGCCCTGGGGGTGACAGGTTTGTTGAGATGCAAGTGGTGGGTCACAGGACTTGGAAAGTAAATGCCAATGATGTCCCAGGAGAGTACACTCTGCTCTGCTTTGAAACCCCAGTGTACTGAGCTCAGTCCCCGACATGCCATTATCTCTGACTCTGGTTTCCTTTGCACGTGTTCCTTTGAAACACCTTCCCCTCTAGTCATCCTGGCTTCCACTCGTGGGTTACCTCCTCCAGTAAAACTCTCCAGCCCCTGCGCTGAGTTAAGGCTTCTCTGACTTCAGCCCAAGCTGCCCTGTCTGTGGAAGGATCGGCTGGTGAGCGGTAGCATTCACTAGAAGGCACGCCCAGGAAAAGGTCATGGTATACCCAGGGAGGCCCACAGCCAAGTGGCAACAGTGACGAATTAATTCCTTTTAGGACTGGGAACTCAAGGGTGCCTGGGGACACCATGAAGGAGTTAGGGCTGTGGGCATCGAAGGGCATATTCACAGGGCTCTGCCCAGCTGTGAGGTGCAAAGGCACTATTTCTCTCAGGCAAGGAGTCACGTTGGGGTCAGGGCCTCCTAACCCTTTTTCTGATTCACAAAACATTCCTAGGAAATTTTAAATCATTGACATTTTTAATGGTATGCCATAAAGATTTTGATTAAAAATATCTCCTGTCTTTAGGCTATGAGAGATTATATATAAAGTTCACTTAAAATAAAATTTTAAATAACATAATACATGACAACAAATTTCTACTGTTCATGTTTAGCATGAAAAATTTCACGTTTAATTTATCTTTAGTTATGTTAGAAAAACATGATTCTAAACAAATAAATATAAAAGTGATTATATCATGATTTAGAAATCTAATGTACTTGTGAAACTTGCACTTGGGTTAGACATCTCCCAGCAGCCAGAGTGACTATTTAAAAATGAAATCAGTCCTGGCCAGGTAGCTGAGTTGGTTAGAGCATCATCTGATACACCAAGGCTGTAGGTTCGATTTCCATCAGGCACACTTACAACAATCAACCAATAAATGCATGAATAAGTAGAACAACAACTCGATGTTTTTATCTCTCTCTCTCTCTCATCAATACATTTTTTAAAGAGAATTATAAAAAAATAAAATCCTAAATCAACTTATGTTATTCTCACTTAAAACCCTCCTAAGGCTTTCCGGCATGTTCAAGGCAAATCACAACCCCTTTCTGTGGCCTCACGACCCTGCTTAATCTGGCTCCTGCCTCTATTTCTGACCTTCCCTCCTTCTACTCTGCGAATAAAGCCTTACTCACAGGACCGAAATCACTGCTGCGCTCAGCCCCACTGTGGCTGCAGCGTCCTGGTTGGCTTCTGTTCCTGGGGCTCTTCCTCCAGAGCTTTCAGGGGCTGCCATTACCCTTCATTCAGAAGACCTTCCCTATTCACCCAATCTGTAATAGCCCCTTCCCAATCAATATCTACATCATGTAGATGCTCTTCCGTTCAGAGCACTTAACACGCCCAGAATGGATGGTGTATCTGTGTCGTTTTGGTGGTTTGTGATTTGTCCCTCCTAGCAGGCTGGAGGTTCTGGGAGAGCCGGCATCAAGTCAGCCTCCATCACAGCTCTCTCTTCAGCCCCTGAAGCAGCCCCGGCACCAGCTGAACAGGTTATTAGTAAATATTTACTGCTGTTGCTCTGGTTTCAAAAATATACAAAACCAGCTTTCATGGCCCAGTGCTTAGCAGTTTTGAGTTCAAAATCGTACCTATATTTGATTGAAAAATAAATCACATGCACGTAGCCAAAAATTTAAATAGCACGAGAGTGAAGCTCTTGGTCTCACACCTTCAGACTGGTCAGGATAGGACAGGCTGTTCTGTGGTCTTTCAGCTATCTGTCACTTCATGCCACTGTTTTTCACTATCATAATTCTGAGTGTGGCTAAGCTCAGCTGGCTGACTCTCACTTTGAGTCTCTTATGTGGCTGCAGTCACACCCAGGACTGGGGTCATCTGAAGACTGAGCCGGCCTGGCTGCTGGTGACGCTCACTCATCTGACTGGAAGAGAAGCTGGCAGTTAGCTGCAAGGACAATTATAACCGAAACCCGAAGTGCCTCCTTTCGGCCCCTCCATGTGGCCCCTCTATGTGCCTTAGGTTTCTCAGACAATGAAGGTTACATTCTAAGAGGGGCCATCCCACAAACATGCCATTGATCAAAACAGCTACAATCCCACCCAGATTCAAGGACAGGAGACACAGACCCCAGCTTTCAGCGAAAACAGCATCAAAGAATTTCTGACGCTCTTTAATCTGCCGCATGTGGTATACCAAATAAACCTTCGTATTTCAGTGGCTTAACACAACAAAGGTTGGTTTCTCACTGACATCACAGGGTGGGGGAGACAACGTACCCTTCTCCTCCTCCAGCAGTGACTCACAGCCAAGGGGCTTCCACTCAGTATCTCCATCGTCTCAAAATTCTTCAATCCCAACTGCTCAGAAGCAAGAGAAGTTGGGGGTTGGGGGAGTGGGGCAAAGATTCACACTGACACTTAGTTGCCTTGGAGCTGAAGTGACACATTCCTCTGCCCACATTCCCAGTGGTGAGATCACATCTCTGGGAGGGGTGGGAAATGTAGTCTTCTCATGTTCCCTGGAGGAGAAAAAGGGGTGCGAACACATCATTGTTGCTGACACACACTAACTTCCCAATCTCCTTCTCCAGAAGCACCATCATTAATAATTTAGTGTATATCCCCCCAGAAAAATGTCTGTATATGTAAATATATAAAAACAAAGGTAGGAACTGGCTGGGTAGCTCAGTTGGTTAGAATGTTATCCCCATACTCCAAGGTTGCAAGTTCGATCCCTGGTCAGGGCACATACAAGAATCAATCAATGAATGCATAAATAAGTGGAACAACAAATTAATGTTTCTCTCTCTCTCTCTCTCTCAAATCAATAATTAAAAACAACATAAATATAGCATTCATACACTGTTCCACATAACAATGCTTCTTTACATAACAATATATTTTCAATATATCTTAGAGAACTTTTGATATCAGAATAAATAGATCTATTTCATTCCTTTTAAGGCTACAAAGCATTTCATTGTGTGGATACACTATAATTTACCTAACCAGTCCTCTGTTGATAGACATTTAGATTTCTTCCAATTGTTCATTCTTACTATGTTACATCATATAGCCTTGTACTTAGATCTCTGCTTAAGTATGTTAGTGAAACTGTACCTAAGTTTTGATAAATAATATTTAGAATACATATATTCAGCCCTGGCTGGTGTGGCTCAGTGGATTGAGCTCTGGTCTGCAAACCAAAAGTTGATCCCCAGTCAGGGCGCACGCCTGGGTTGTGGGCCAGGTCTTCACTTGCAGGCATGCAAGAGGCAACCAATCGAAGTATCTCTCATACATTGATGTTCCTCTCCATCTCTTTCTTCCTCCCTTCCCTTCTCTCTAAAAGTAAATAAATATAATTTTTAAAAAATATATACATATTCAGTAGTTATCATATAACCCAGTGATATCCAATTAGAAGAGGTAGTAAAAATAACATCATTCACCACAGCAACAACAACTAATATACTTAGAAATATACTCAAGAAAACATTTACAAGCTGCAAATTAATGACATAGATTAATTTGAATGTTTATATCATATATATACACGTGTGTGTGTGTGTGTATGTGTGTGTGTGTAATGTAGCTTAATGTGATCAATTAAAATTACTGAAGGACAGTCATGACTGGTGTGGCTCAGTTGGGTGGGCAACTTCTGGCAAAGCTAAAGGTCACCAGTTCGATTCCTAGTCCAGGCACATGTCTACACTGCAGGTTCAGTCCCCCGTCAGGGCACATGCAGAAGACAACTGATGTTTCTCTCTATCTCCCTCTCTCAAAAAAAC